AACGCCATCTACTAAAGTTCAACAACTTGAATTAATCGAAACAATTTCTGCAGCATACAGGACGAAAATCCTCACGTCATTAGCGGATAACCAACCAAAAGATAGCAACGATTGCGACGCCAGGCCGAAACACATTGGTTTCGACTTAAATTAGTCGAGTCGAAAAATTCGATTTTGCCAAAACTCAAACTGGGAAATGCGTGTCACCATCCCCGATAACCGTTCCATGTTTGCAAAATGTCATTAAAATTAGGTGTGGAAGTGATATGCTTGAGTTGAGTTACCGACGCTCAAGTGAATCATCAGCACTGGCGCCTTCAAATACAGTAATTAAGGCCCATTTTGGACGGAAACCGACTTAAGGATGTTCGAATACGTAAATTGAGGTGAGATGAATCGATGCGTAATGAGCAAGGCGGAAGATGGAGACAGCGACATAATGAACATTACACTTCAAAGCATTAGAGACGTAAAAGAGCAAGCAAGCCTTACAGTTTTCCGAGGGCAAAGACGAAAATGTGAATGACGCGAAAGTGTACCACAATTCAGAAAGTTACTGAAATGCAGTGTTTATGCGCAATACCTGAAGCTACATACTAGTGAAGCGTTAAAGAGAACATTTAGCACTGCAATATGGATTACAAAGAATGACTACACAGTACATGCAAGTAAATAATAAGGAACGGACTTAATTTAAGAGCAATTATCATGGTAATCAGCCGATCAATTAACAAGAACGTAAGCAGTGTTGTGGTCTACGTGCACCGGTAAACATCAGCTGCGTGTCTACAAGTAATATCCATCCAATAATATTCCGTATTGCATTAAAAAATCCCCATAAGGAATGCCACGCCAGTACAGGTGACTGTTTCGTTGCGTAAACCAATGCGTCAATTAATCAAGAACGAATGGATGTCGTAAGATAATGCCAAAGAACGTTTTACTAAGTGACTGAAACATTGTCCTGTGAAACTAGTTATACGCAAAGCAACATAAATACAGTATTTCAGAACTAAATAGGAAATATTAAGGTTTAAAGCATCTGAAAACCGTTGTTTAAAAACAGCTAACGAACATTAGCGCTAAACATCCTGAGAAATCGTAAAACTATCCGCTCATAAAGAGGCAAAAATAATCCATAGGATAGCAGTTTGCACAGTGCATGCAAGTATATAATGAACAGTTGTAGACAATGATTCGTTCAAAATTCAATTGACAGAAGGGCCATAAAAATGCTGGCCCAAGGTGATGAGGCAAAATAAAACGTGGTGTACTGAGCGCACCCACGGGTAGAAAGAAGTTAACACACAAAAATGATCGACTAGATTGCGAAACGTACACGAATACTTGTTTTCCCAAATTTAAACCTGTTCGCAGTGATAAAAGTGGCCCCGGAAAAGTAAAAAGTAGCAAACAAACCTGTCAAATAGTGAAATTATTACAGCAACACCGTTCTAAAACACCTTAGTTAAGCAGGCAGGGAAAATGAAAATCGCATGGAGCATGCCTAGTGAAAACGAGTGTAAACCAAAGTGGAGTAAATGTAGAAGCCCTGAACGGCTGTTCAAACTTCACCTCAATCATAAATGAGGAGATCCCCGCAAATCGGCGTCTGTAATTGTGGAAGGGTGGGTGTGAGCATAAAATGCGGCAGTGTCAGGATCCTGAAGGTGGAGCAGTGCACGGGATGGTCGCAGAAGCAGGGGAGGAGGCAAAATTAACAGCGGCATTGTTGATGTTAGACAATTTCAGGTAATAAAAGCAGACGTTATGGGATGAGTTTCAAAAGGCTAATTTTGACAAATAGGTACATTCAGGATTTCTGAGGGGGGTCAGTACACTAACAATCCTTCAGTGTGCATGCTTCTCGTGTTTCAACCTATTAGCAAGGATCTTCAGAGCTTGCAAAACTTTTAAAAATGCAATGAGACTACTCAGAAAATGCCATTTTAGGCTGCGATCCAATAGCCAAATCGGACAAAAGCAGTTGACAGTGTAATAGTAGTATGGGCGCAGAGCTAGAAGGATGGAAACTCTAAACAATTTAACCTACCAACGCAACAGAATCTATCAAGACCTAAAGGCGTCTTTTGAAGGTTATAGTACGCAAACGCTTATAGCTATAGAAGTGCAAGGAAATTACATGAAAATAGGTTGCACAAAAACGTTTCTATAAAAAGCAGGACGTTCTGATACGATTAGAATCGGATAAGCACATGAGGAACACAGAAATGAGGATCTGTTATTTCTAATTTAGAACGTCCAAAAAATGAACCAGAAGAATACAGTAAGCATTTCCAAATGCTTACAATTCACCAATGTACTTAAGGCTTGCAAAGATACTGCAGAACCAATTTGGTTCTCGAACAAAAGCCATCTGCGTCACTTAAGCGCACAAAAAGGGAAGATGTCGAATTCAGCCAAGTGCAGTCCAAAACAATGGCCCTGAATCGCGAGAACAATGGTGTAACGGTAGAGCTGAGTTGATGATTGAGCCCGATTGAATGGACAAATTCAGACTAGCAACGTCTCAACTGCTTGATGTATGGATTTACTCAATGATCGGATAGATGATTTGGTGGAACGCCTTAAAAAAGGGAATGTTGCACAAAAGGGAATTCTACTGTTATATGGCCTTCTGTGAATAAAAAGACAGGAAAGGGCTAAACTAAACGATGGTAAGAAACTTAAAGGCTGGTTATAAGATATTTTGAAGGCAATTTCATAAATACAAAAATTTTATGAGCAGATAAGATCAGAGCATAGGAGAAGGTGGAAAAGAGAAATATATTTAAGTGACAACGGTATTCACTACTTGACAATAGGGGCGTTCTAGAGAAATTGTAAGCTTATCAGAAGCACAAAATCGAAGATGGAGTTGAGGCTGCTCGAAGAAAGCAGCATTAAATACCCAAAGGTTGGCAGCAATTACCAAAATTTGTTGCACCAGAAGTATCTTGCATAAATTATTTCCCTTTCAATGCCGCTGTGAGTTGGATGATCTTACAAAGACTAAAGTAGGTGGAAAAAGAAATGATAAGTTTCACGATGTACGTTACCTTTAACTCCTGGCTATACCAAACAGACACTACTTAAAATAGAACCACAATACGGTTAACTTGACAAAGAGTCCACAAATTAGAAAACCTGCTGCAATACGTATTAGTTGTTGAATATACATTACAGGTCAGAGTCGTGGTTCGAGAGGAGAGGACGAAGTCTTTGACTCCTATTGTGGGGAAGCAGATGGTACGACTAATGTTTGTAGCGATTAAGTAGAAATGGTACATTCGGAGCAACCAGATAAACCAAGCTATTGGCCAAAAGATCCCCCAAAAAGGAGAGGAAACCGATTTTTGTTTCCAGACTGTTGGCATGATGTCAACATACCAACTCTAATTATCGCGTCCAAAATAAATTGTAACCAGGACTCATACGCGAAACGCGACTTAGCGGCAAAAACCGGGAGGGAGGGGAGAGAGAATTTAGAGGGCCCGCTTAGCTAAGGAAGAATTGAAACATTAAGAAGGCTTAATGCTTTAACCATGTAAGCTCATGAACTAGATCACGTGGAATGTAAATGCCCGATATTGCGGTAGAAAAAGCCTCAAAGCTCACTGTAGAAATGAATTGCTGAAAGCAGCACAACAGCAATAACTGATACCTTACATATCCATAACAAAGTTAATCACGTTCAAATTCCTGGGACAAAAAGAAGAGACACATGGACTAAATTTTCTGCCCCAATATCAACTCGCCTACAAACACTTATGCACCCAATAATTAGAGTAAATGCTTTCGGTTAAACACAAAAGTAGACGTCACAGTAGCTACTATTGGTTATTCTTTTGCGCATAATAGTAGATGGTTAAAGAAGTGTAGCACAATAAAGCATCGTTCAGACTTTGAACAGGGATCGAATACGAATAAGGGACACTAACTTGAAAAGCATTAAGGAATTTCACGACTTCTTGACAAAAGCAGCTGAAACTAATTACTTTTCAGCGCATTTCATTTTGTGGGCACCGAAGTAAGTAAAAAGACAAGTCAAATACGATGGCAATACATGCACACTAATATAAAAATATTGCCATCTTTACAAACAGTGGTTAAACCTGCTTCTAGAACAAGCACTGATAGGATGCTTTTTACAATTGAGTAGCAAAGCTAATTTCATTCCCTTCGGTAAAGGAGACAGGAAAAATGGCATAGAAATAAGAGTAATTAATGACTCATTCAAAACAGGACAAAGTTATTCTACAGAACGTGCAAAAACTTCTTTCACGAGGATTCTGAGCATTAACAAGCCATATATTAAACAATAATTTGTTTATAGAGCCGCGAATGATGTATAAGGTGTTGGTATAAGCCTAACTATGACAAAAACATGGATTCATTAAATAACCTATCGGGTATGGGAAAGCCTAAATGGAGCGCCGTACGCAAAAATCTAAATTTTGAGGAAATATCAGATTTTGTCTTTATGAAGCACAGACAATATGCAGTACCTGGATGAAGAATTAAATACATTCTAACCCTGATAATTAGTTACATTCTCCTGAACTCACATAAGCAGGCTTGAAAATTTCCGCTCCGAAAAAGGATCGAAAAGAATGCAAGTAACACTTAAAATTAGCCAAGGCAGACGGCCAAACAAAATTATAAACAAATGGACTGAACGTCTTCAAGTAGTACAGAGGAACGAAGGACGCGGCAGCAAATAAGTTTAACAACCCTTACAAATTCACTTAAATCAGATACGAACAAGAGGACATGCTAGTCTACTGGAATTCAATGCATGCTGGACGAAAAAATACAGAAAAGAATTACCATTTAAAAGTGAAAATAGCCAGCAAAAGTTAATATCGTGGACAGAAATAGGTACAGACTAGCAAAGATCATATACTTGAACCTGTCGCCATCAAAAGACAAACCAAAACAAGAACATTCCGTAAAAAGAAGATGAAGATGAAGAAGTGGAACATAACTTTGAAACAAACTTACTGTGCTGTAAGCAATGGAATAGGACTTGGATCGGTGGGCTGAAGAGAGTGGTGTTTAGAGTTATGAAAAAAATCTAAACCTCTGGAGGCCCAATAATTGCGTGCGTCGTCAAGCGCATCACCCATCTGCCGTTTAATTTGTGACGCCGAGACCATATGCAGAGGCACTGCGTAGGGGTTCCCAAACAGAACCGCGTCTTCACTCGTTGCCACCGTAGCAGTAGAAACGGATGTTGATAACTCCTCTGCTACACCAAGATCCACAACAGTTTTTTCAGTATTCAATGAACTGTCCCAACGTCCCTTCATGCTATGCGTCCTCCATGCAACTAAGCAAAGCAGACGAACACAGAAAGTGTTGGAGTTAAGCAGCTAGAAGTGGCCAATAGTCACAGGTACGAGCCGCATACAGTTTCAGAAATTGACGACACAAAATAAGGCTATCGAACAACTAACTGGTTTTACCTGCCTCCGAGTCATTGAGCCTGCGATAGGAATGCATCTTGACACGGCACTCTGCCACAGTCTCATACTCTGGAGCATAGACGATATGAAGAAATGCACCGTAAAATGAAGAATCATCAAGACGTCTTTTGACATTCCTTAAATAAGAGATTTATGCAGCTGAATTCTGAGCTAAACGACAAACAAAAGCATTGCTACTTATGAATACCAGTAGAAACCAACATTAAAAAATTACCTGGCCAAATTCACCGAGCGAAACTTCACAAGGTACGTTTCGGTAAATTCCTCAGCTTCTGGATGACTGACCTTAGAGATTTGCTGTATCTCTTCGAACTGTTGAATTCTTTCCTTTAGAGGCTTTAGCAAACCAATTGATGGTGCGCCAAAAATGAGTAGATACATCGACTCATCAGCAATCGTGAAAACCTAAAGCAAAGTTAGGATGATAAATAACTTGACCTTCACAGCCCGCTTCCGCTTGCCGTCTCTATAGGGCGGTCTAGTGACACAGGGCCCAACTTTTCTGTGGTGGGGAAAAGATTTCAGCTCCCTTAACATTTTCTGTCCCGCTCCAAACGCAGGATGTTTGAGGTCCAAGGGGACGGTAGATGCTCACTAAGGGCACATCAGATAATTGCAAGTATAGGACTGTAAAAAAATCACAAGAGCCCGTAAATGAGGTGAGGCATACAACAAAGAACAGTGCGAACTCCAATACAATATTTAATAAAGCTCTACAATGCATCGCGACAGCGACCAATGTGCAACCCATTGGCAGAGAAGAAATCCGTTTCATGGCTCGCATAAGTATAAAAAAATGAAATTAATGAATACTCCGGGACATACAAATAGCACCAACAAGTCAAAAACAAAACTACGAGTCGAAATTAACACCTGGTTCGGCGATTGATAAACTGAAACAAGATTTTCTTACAGATAAATAGAGCGATTAATGAATGAGTCCCAGAAATTACTGACAACCCCATCACTGGACAACCCAACCTCACCCTTTTCACGTTATGCCGCGCGGGTTCAAAAAAAAAACACCAAAACATAGATGCTGTTTTTTGTTGTGTAAAACCAGCTAACCAAGGAAAAAATTTTGAAGATATATGGTCAAAGAAATTTTGTTTTTACTAATTTTGTGTAATTTTGCCAAGGGATGCCAGTGGCTATAAATCGAATGTTCAAATATATCGAATTTTAACTAAAAGCAAGTGGGTTACATAAGTTACTGATTCTCGCAATACAATATACAGCATGCACCGCTGTCGCAAACTCGTTAACAATAAAAGGTTACTGTTTAAGTTTAGTTTGGGCATCAAATCATTTTAAATTTTCTCACAAATATAAGTCCCAAATTAAAAAGATAGCCCTGTGCATCTTGATCTTAGTATCATGCAAGGGAGAAATATTGATGCATAATTTTTACACAGTGCAGGTGACAATGGAACCACCGCACAATCTATTAACTGATCGTTATTATTCTGCAGAGTAGTGCCATTGGGTAGTTCTCGCGTGTGTACAGTTTACTTTTGGTCACTCAAACTGGGCTATGGGGGAGTGCAAGCCTATTGGGTTTGTTTGGCTTAATTATTTTATTTCAAAGCCGCGAAGTTCTCATCAAAGGGTACTTAAGGAAGGCTCCTTCAGCTGATAGAAAACAAAAATATGAAGGCTTAAATGTAAGGCGCCCTCGTAACGTCGTTTTCACTAGGTGATGTATAACATTTTTTTTGCGTCCTAGTTTCTTTGCACAGGTTGTCACATCCTTCTTGAGCCTGTAAGTGTTTTACCCGGGTCTCTTTTTACTGTAGCGCAGGCTTTGGCTGCCCTTACTGTGTTTACCAATTTTAGCGTTGGAAAAAACGGTATTGTGTTTTCTACAAGGTCCGCAACCCAACTGAAACTCAAATATTCTTCGAATATTATAAGAATGAATGGGATAAGCATCCTCGAGGTACTTTGGTCATTGATTGGTATTTCATGAGTAGGAAGTGTCTTACTGTTCTCCCATAGCTCCTTTTACTAATCCTTTCTCATCTAATACTAATCGATTTGGCGCTTGACTTCCTTTTAGGTGGTGTGGATCTCAATTCTTGTGACTGCATTTATGAACAAAAGGCATGTAACAGATGGCCGAATGTGTTCGTGGTAAAAACCACACACCGAGGCAAGAGGCGAGATTACCTCTTCTCTGCAAATTCGCTGGAAGAGATGAATGATTGGATTTCACAACTTACCAAAGCTTTACACATGGTACCCGACCGAACTCCGGGTTCCCCTCTTGTGGGTTAGTATCCCTAAGTTTTCGTTTCCAACACTTTTTGGTCCAGAGCTAGAATTTGTTTAGTAACTTATGCAAATCGTAGAAATTGCGTGTGCCATTCATCGAATTGTTCTGTTTCTTAGATGTTGTTGGGCGAAACAGTTCTAATTTAAGCTACCTTGGATCCCGAAGACCAGTGATACCCACTACTACAAAAGTGTCGAACTTTGCTCTGAACTCTAACCAATTCAAAGGAGTGAGTGCTGGCGATTAATCATTGTACATCTATTGGGGATTTCCGTACATTGATTCGCATAAGTGACTTACGCTTTCTGATTATGACCGCTTATAGTCTAATCAGCGCGTTTTAAGTCTAATGCCTGAGTGAACATTGTCAAATAGCTCATTGGGATTCATCTTTTTTAGTTTTCGCATGCATGCCTCTAGCCTCTAGTGTTTTGCAAATTCGACTTCCTGTGGATCCCAGCGTTGACCCACCAAATATTAGCCTCTTGGTAGCTTTAACCAAATGTGGGATTATCAATTAGATTCGTCTTCTGTTTTGTTCATAGAGATTTCGATTCGGTTAGAACCTATATTTTTTAGTCGCGGGGTTATCTGGAACGTGGATTTACTGAGGAATACAGAACCTCATTTGGAGAGGCTACAGCTGATGACGAGGACTGCTATCACGTAAGCAGCTCGAGTACTAATGGTATTTGCTGTTCTAAGTTGCTTTCAACGGCTTATGAGCCAACAGTGCAAAGCAAAAATTTTAGAAAATGGATTTGCCGCGTTTAGACTAATCTCTGGTCTATTTACTGATATTTAAGGCGCTTGCGTGAATTGCGAAATGCATGTGCACGCAAATTCGCGTATAAACGCATCTAATGTCAGAGTAAACAATTATGGTTAACTGCTGTAGAGAAATTGAATTCAATCGTTGGAATATGTTCAGTCACCCGTTAGGCACAGTAGATTAATCGTTCGTTTGGTTTGCGATAAAATCACTCCTCCCACCGGAAGTATTGGAAACACTCTCAATCAATCCTAGTTTGCCAGCTCGCAGTGCGTTTTGCTTGTGCATTTGTCTACTGCGAGCGATGGACGTATCCTATGTCCTCGATTGAAGTAATTATGGCGATAGAAGTTCAATAAATGCGGCAACATTTGGTTCTTTTAGCGATGGTACCAACTGGACTGCTTAGGTAATTTTCCGACACGAATCATCCAAAGTCACCTGTCTCTGGTAGTTTATATCACTTCCCCTTTGAACACTTTCAAAATCACATTGACATCCCGAATTGGAACCAACTGATTAACCAAATATCGATGGTGGATGCTGCTATTGGTCGCTATAACCTCTGTTTACTTTTAGGTATTACCACAACCCGACCACGCTTATGTAAACCTCAAAGGCGATGGAAGCGTAGTCATTGAAGATAATCTCCAAAATGACCAAGGTACCATTTTCACTAGGCCCCATTTCCAATTTCGGAACGATTTCATGGTTAATAGACTCAAAACATCACTTGCTTTGCTGTTAAGTTAGGTACGCAGTGGATGATGGTTGAACACGCTCATAACATTTTAATGCTGCACTTGTCTTCATAAGCGTGCTCAAGGCTATCATGATTCAGTAAAGTATGCATTTATTAGACTATTTTATCAAATACGGTTTCACGATGATATTCATTTATAGTAAAATCTGCTCCTTCAATTCCTCGAGGTGCACCAGCTCCTATTGGGAGACTGGTGTTTTCCGTTGCGACCTCTTCTCTTCATTGCTTTGTCATCAGATTTCATTTATTCTAACTTCTCAAGCAAGGGTGAAAACAGCGTTACACTCCTCTTTAGCATCCAATGCTTTTACGGCTAAAAAACGTTAGACCGATGTTACACTTGTTCAGGGCCTCCGCGCGGTGATAATGGTCCTCGTCCAGACAGCGTCTACTTCAATGTTTGGGATTCACCAACGGTGGATGTCAACGACGGTACACCTTTTACGTCCCTTTTATTCCATTAAACAGGTAATCGCGATCAATCGGCGTATCATGTCGATTTATCGGAGTCGGAGCAACCAGACAGGGAAGCCTTAGGAGCTGTAGAGGACAAAGAGGCAAAAGCGCGTTGCCAGCTGCACACCAAGGAAGCTCTTCGCTCCGGTCATGAGAATTTTAGCAAGTGCGTTGCGGCGCATGAGTTCTATTTTTATATGGCGCAAAGGCAGTTAAATGCGTCTAGATTATTGTTCTTATAACAGAATATTCCTGCCCGAGGTTTGAGATGCTCGTTCCACTTCTATAAGTGCGATATTAAGGCAATAGTTTTCATTATTCCACTTATAAAACGTGCTCATCTTAAAGCCGTTTGAAAATATGCTTTTATATAACAACAGAACTCAGTTGCCTAAACGATCTCGAACCCGTACGACCTCGTCTTCATCAAGTGCGGTCTCATTTGATGATGGTGATGGGAACGAGAGTGATGCAGGTGGTAGCAAAAACGCTGGGGCCTTGAAAACCCTTAGTGGTGTTGTCGAAGCTGAGGCCGCAGCCTCCAGTCTAGAGGAGGGCGCTTGCGTGAAGGTGGGTACTAAAATTAGGTGGTTTGGAATCACATGCTAATGAAGAGATCATCTTAGCATAGTTGCCTGATAAAACAAGAGCTGGTGTGCTTCCGATTTTTTACAATCAAGGGAAATGGTGACATATTTGACTAACGTGTGCATACACAACATTAGGCGGGGAATACATCCGGCCCTGCTGCTGATACTGGTGGGTCAGCGATCCACTATTTGGATGCAGAAAATCTGGACTTTTCTCTGCGTCAACGCAGTGGCCATGGCGTGGCGAACGCTGTTCCGATCGTTCCTCCAAAGCCTGTGCACCTGCGTCGGATGACCCCAGCGGAGGCAACAACAGAGGTTAGTGCATCCAACGATGTCACTTCTAGCGGCTACAACGAGCTCGATCCGCGCAGCACGCAAGCATTTTTCATGGTCACCAAGAGAGTCTTCGGTGATGCTAATGAAGCTTGAGGGTGCCCCATCCACCAGTTGTAAATAGAGTTCTCGCTTTCGTGTGCCTTTGATTTATTCTTCCAACAAATCATCTGTTTTATGCATAAGTCGGAAATGCACCTCCTTAAGCCTATTTTTTTCTACTTTGCGTAGTAAAAGTTCCCACGATTTCGCTTAACAATAAAAATGCTGAGCTCTTCTCAATGACTTTTTCGTCCACTCACAACGGTTGGTGCCCCGCGGATTTGACTGTAAAGTCAGTCCTAGACATTGCTATTTAACGGGGCGCAAATTTTTATTTTCTTTTTAGCCTGAGAAACAAAAGGAATGCTTGTGAATGTGAGAATTTGTCTGCTAAGTATTTTATGGCTCTTGAGATCGGTATACAAACACGGTATCCATTGCACAGGGTCACTCCATAAATGCATTTTAAAGATGAGTCAAAGGACTGTCAATAATGACCAAAAACATCGGTAATGACTCTGGCTGCTAATCGTCCCAAAGTCAAATCATTCCAATTGATGTCCGTTCAGTTATAGTGACGAAATAAATGGTGACTGAAAGCCGCATGGTAATGACAATGATATGAGCGACATTCTGCCTCTAAGAGATTTGAATGTGCTGTTCCACGGTACTGCGGCACAGAGGACACAGAACGACCTTGACTGAACAAAATTTACAGCAGCAAACGTGACCACATGGGAGAAATATGATTGAACACTAAAACAAGGAGAAGAAAGTACAGCCTCTGAATTTACCAACCTCTCAGTGCGTAACATGCAGCGTCAAGTAACTGTGCTATTAATGGTTAATGTGCAATTACGGGCTAGGCGCTATTAGGTGGAAGTCGATGACTTCAGGTTACTTAGCTAATAATGACTAAAGATGAAATGAAATGAGAACCATGATTTGAACCACGAATCACCTGGGCATCCTGGCATATGCAGCATTCATTCTCAAAGCGGGCTACTACTGCGGGCGGAGCACTGGGCGACGCCATTCTGTCATTGCCAGCGTCATTCGGAGTTGATTCGCTCTCGTTCTCATTTCCACTCAGTACGGAAGATACCAATAACGGGCTCTGACAAAACTTGAGAAGCATTGCTGAGGTTAGCATGATTCGATCAGTGGAATGAGAGGTAATGTAAAAGAAAATTTTTATGAACGAAAACTTATGAAAGAAGCCATGGAGACCGCTCGTAATCGATTTCGTTTGACTGAACTACAGATGCGCAAAAAAAAACCTTCATTTTAATACTTAAATGGATTATGAACACCGACGACACCAGGCGCAATGCACAAAGCAACATTGCATGAGTTTATATGACATGGATGATTGTGATATGGTTTTGGGAGGTTGCATCCCTTGATTTGAAGCTTTCCTCGGGTAAGTTATGTATGCACCCTTTTGATATTATGATAGAAAAGTAAACTGTTGTACTACAGTAAGGCAAGCAGTACAAGGGAGAGGCAATAAAAAAAGTAAGATCTAGGCCGGTGAAATACACTACGATCAAAAGCGAGCCTTCCAAAGTTGGATTCCCTACCATAAACGAAGTACATACGTTAGAGTGGAGACGATTCTCAAAGGTGCCCATATGTACCAAGACTACTGGAGCCGGTACGGGTATGCAAATATGGTCGTACCCTAGCAGTGCCTAGATAAAAGGAGGAATTCCAAAACTCTAACGGAATAGTACGATAGAATTTGAATTAGTCGATGCAAGGCATGCATCAGACTTTGATTAGTCTGGACAGATTTCGGGCGAATGGTTCTACTGACGAAATCTGACGTTCGCGTGAATTTGTTGAATGGAGTATGGAGTTGCATCCACAGCAGTGGTTATACTAGGTGGATCTGGCCAAAATGAGATAGTGAGACAAAAAGGTACAGTTCAGTACAGTTAGTACGATTAGGAAGTACCTTCCTTAGATCCAGCGGCGTCCTATCCATGAGACGTTGATATTGAACTAGCCAATAGAATGTCTGATCTCGTTCCCTTTGTTCCTCCAGTCCCTTCTGTTGGAAAACAAAAGTCATGGACATCGATTTTTCTACTCCCTTATTAAAACAAAAAGTCTGAAACGGAACAATATGAATAATAGTTAATGATAATGAGCAAAGGCAACGCATACGCACAAAGATCGACGAATCACAATGTGTTCCACGTAGTAGTTGATAGTGAACAAGTGCTTTGTGCAACAACACCATGGAAATCATTTTTACAAGATATGCAATGCACCTTGTGCAAACTTGAACTTGCTTTCACAAAAAATTGCAAGTAACCCATGTGAGAGTCTGTAGTCAACCTACTTATCACTGAACTTCAATACAACGCAAGCTAAAAGGGATAAGAACCGCAACACTAGGAGATGCGAAGAAATGAATCAGCACTCACTAAGAATTCGTATAGCTCTGATTCACGTTGGTCCTTCTGGCGCTGTAGATCTGACAGTAAGTGAACAAGATCTCTTCGACGCTCCGAAAATTGACCAAGAATTAGAGCGTTTTGGAATGCCTTGCGTTCCCTTTCGACTCGTGACAGTCTACAGAGTTCCCTCTCCACAAGTTGAATATTATCAATAATCTGCTGACGCCTTAGATTGCGTTGTTGTTGAAGGCATTCAAATGCTTTCATCTTTTGGCCATCCTCGATGAAGAGAATGGGTGAAATGCGAGACAAATGTTGAAGAGACCATACCTTTACAAAGCACCGCAACCAGCTCAAACTTCACATTTCCTTTAAAGTTTAGGAGCATTGGTGAACTCAGAGTACGAAATCCAATTACATGAATAAAAAACAGCTCGTTGCATCACATTATTGCTTAGACTTCCCAATCAACAAAGAACGTTTTAGACTAGTATTTGGCATTCACACATTCTAAAAATTTAGGAATATCGAACAGACGTCTACTCCAGCAATAGCTGTTTTAGGAACCTCAATGGATCACCTAAGTGACTCAATAAACAGCCGACAAGCTGGAAATAAGAATACACACAAATTTCGACAACGCTTTTCGGTCCCACAATTTTTCTCAAGTGGTACTGAAAAAAATGAGGCTTATTGATGCATAGACCTGGTGTGGGAATTTTAATGAATAATAAACATACTATAGCAGAACGACTTGACTTACTTCAATGGCAACTCGAACGGCGAGTTGAGCTTGATCTGCTCTTCGGCTGATTAAAACACATTGCAGTGCAGAATCGATTTCCTCTTGATCATCTGCTCCAATCACACTGTACCCCATTGAGCCTGTCCTGGATGCGTCAAGCACAGCATTCGTTGAGTCTGAAAGTCAAGTAGTCAAACTCAGTGGAGGCTATGAGTAACAAAGAATCCGCCAAACATGAGGTGCAAAAAGTGTGAAAATTAGTGATCCTTGGATCGGAAGTCAGTTAACGAAGAACTACCGGGACTAACCCATTAATAAGGTTTCAAGAAAAGACATATAATTGGCATGATGCAGCAACATCAAAACGCCTTCCAATGTTAGCTATTGGAAAGTAACTTATGACCCAATTTATGAAAAAATAGAATCCATAAACTGAAATTTCCACAAATTCAAGCAAAATCATGAAAACCATACAATGTGTTACAGGGATCCATCCACATTTTGGCTAATCTAAGGGCTGATGCTAGTGTTAGACAAACACCTGCAGAAGATTTCCAAACTCACTGCATCTGTGAACAAGGAGTAATCTCAATTCCCAAAAATGATGTCACATCCTAAGCACTACTGAATTCGGTCAAGTACATGGATCACTAAGCTCAGTCAAGCGTTGCATTTGTTGCATTTCTGCATTTTTTAATGCTGAAAACAGGAAATTGGACAAACCTAAAACCCTTTCCCGAGGGTGTGAAGTAATTGTCTCACATGGGTGTGTGATAGAGGATTGTGGTTGATCGTTCTTCCTTAGCACGCGCTGCTTTTGATGGAGATGACAAATCAGATCATCTATTCGTTTCGTCGTTTCACACAAAGTGGTGACAAGTTCAGATCTTCCTTGTTCCCGCTGCCTACGCAGCAACTCCAGTTCATTCTCAATTTCCATCTCTTTCTTTAAAAAAAAGAATTGTTAAAACCTACGCTACATCCAACGTAAGATGTATTATGCGATTCGCAGTAAAATCCTTTTCCAGATGGAGGTTTAAGGTCAACGAACTTAGGAACGGCACAAGACTTACTTGGTTCAGGATGAACGAATTAATTAATAAATGTGATAAGTGAAACATTCATTGTAGGGAGAGAGGGGAGGAGGGGAAAAATAGGCTTGATCACAGCAGAGGCATACTTGTATAAGTTTTTTCAGAGAGGCTGCTCGTGATCCAGACGCCCTACACGCCGTTTCTTCATGAGCGTGAAAGTTTTCTGCCACTTGATGCCATCCTACTCCTTCTCCATAATCTTGACACTGATCCGTCGTGGAAAGGGTCTTCAGAAGTAATTGGAGAAACGTTATAAAGCGTTACCACACCAATAATTTGTACATTCAGGCTCAATATACAATGAGGTCCGACATCTCTACTAAGAATTGTTCTAAAGCTGCAAATTGTGAATGCATAAAATCCTCTATTTCAATGGCAAATATATGTGACACACTCAACTCAGCACCTTAAATTCGCACTACTGAATAACTCCTGCTTTGAATAGATGTCGAGTAACAAAGTTGTATGAAAGCTAAAAAAATTAGACTAATTTCTCGAACTTGTAAATTTTTTTGCCCAAAATTGTCGCAAATTGTGCACAATAAGAATGAAGGAATGATATTTAGCCTACCTTGCTAACTTCGGTAAAAGCGATTTCGTCTTCCGTTAACTGTCCGACTATTTTACAAGAGAATGGAATAAGCGATTGATGAAACTCTCATTTCCCTTACACCACCGCATCATTTGAAATGAAAATCTTCAGCAATCACCGGTTGTTCGAATGCATTTGAAGAAAATAATTCAAAGCTAATAAAAACTAAAATGGATACCTTCGCGAAGAAATGCGAGTATTGCTGGAGCTCCATAATCACAAATAGCTGAACAAGCAGTCAGAATGTTAAATTGTAGCACCTTTTGGAGGAAAAGTAATTGAACTTAGTGGAAGGCTAATACGTTTAAGCTGTTTTAAATATCCCAAAGCAACTGGCAAGTGAGTTATCGGATTCTCATCAATACGGAGTTCTTCTAAAGTGAGAAGACTCCCTACACTTGGAGGAAGTCTGGGAATGCAGTTCCCTGAAGCACAAGCATCGAATTATACCAGAGGAAACACCGATTACGGCAAACTTTCTACAGCCCGCTAAGAAAATGAACTTACCTTCAAGATTTAAATATTGAATGCAACCAAGTTCGGCAATTCGATCAGGAATTACTCTAAGCTCGTTAAAACTCAAATCCAATACCTATGGTTAAACAATGTCAACATAATAATTTGCCACAAAATTACCTTAAGAAAGGGCATCGAAAAAATTTCATCAGGAAACAACTGAAACCTATTTGAATGCAAGTCCAAGTATGTGAGATGCGACAGGTTTACCACCTTGCCTGCATGGCAAAGGCGATGAAGCAAGTTGGAGTGAAGAATCAACACAGTTTTATTAAAGTATTTGACCTGTGACTCCACACATTTTGGAATCTTCAAGTGAAATTCAGTTACAAATTACCTCAACTAACTGGCAGTCGGATAGATCGTACACAGGTTCTCTCGATTCTTGGGCCTAGAAACATAAATTTTCTTTAGATAAATAATAGATAAAAGATTTCGAGAAACGCACACATACCAAGCAGCATTTACCGCATGGCATAATGAAACAAACTGAATGAATTAGTCGAGTACATCTTACTTCACTGAAATCTGGCAGCTTTATTGGGTATGCAAAGTTACCTGCTATTATGACACCAACAATTTCATGTCAATCTAGTATGGTTAACCACAGAAATCGGTCGACTAAACTCAGGGTGCTTAAAATCAAATATTACACAGCACAACCAGTTCTTACAATTTGTAGCTTTATTTCAGCTTTCTTGGAGAGACCCCTCCTTTTCCGTAAAAGGGAAGCCATCCCGAGCACATTATCGGAACGAGCTAGATGAAACAGTAATGACCAACGACCTTGTCAAATCATTGTGTAACGCAGAATATCAAGAGTTTACAGTGCATTCGACCAAGATAAGAGAACTTGGAAGTTTTTTTACAAATCACGAATATCTCTCCATATGAAAGCAATAAGGAAAGAGGCACAATGTACTCGAGAAAGGAAAGGCAATCGATTAATGGAATTTTGTTCTCATATATTTAAACTTCCTTTTGGCTGAAATAAGGGGTCACAAAGTACGCAAACACATTTTTTCCTAAGACTTCCTCTTATTTTTTCAAAACCCTGGGATCGAGCAGGATGATTGTGGTATGGCTCCTTATTAGAGGTTGTTTGCAAATCGCACCCACTTCTGGGAAATGAAGTGCTAAGTGTTGCCCACCATCACCATCACCGCAGTCCCTCTCGCGTGTTTCTTTAGGAGGTAATTTGTTCGCAAGCATTTTATTTGACATCTAAATAGTATGAGCAATTAGGCGCGAAAGGGAAGAGTATTTTGGATCAAAAGTAGAAACCGAGTGTAGCGCCGTGAGGCTTCCCATAAGGAAAAAGAGGACATTATGTTGGGCTAACTAAATGTGTTCTGGGGAGGAGAGGGGAGAAGAGAGAATAAGTATTGGCTTAGCTCGAATGCCAGTCCATGGGTACAAGTGTCAGAAGAATGCTACAATAACCGCCAGACGTCAGGTTGGCACATAAACAAAACATTGCACCGAGAGGCGTCAGTCGGTCCTTCCACTACGACCTTCAATGTTAATTTGAGTAGCTTTACTGCATCGCACTAAGCTTGTAACGTCACAACACTTCCCATTATTTAGTTAATAACACTTGGTAGAGCTGGCTGCAAGTATTCCTATGGAGGGAAAAGGCTGGGTTGTGGCTCAGTCCTAAGCTTAATTCACACACCCAAAAGCAAGGCAAGAAAAGATCGGCTGTTACCTCTTTTCTTCTGAACCACATCCTCTGCAATTCCCTAGGCACACCTCCTGCGTCAGCCACCACAATGTATTTAGTGCTGTGCACAAACACTCACGTGTCAGTTGTCAGCTGCATTGAGACTGAAGAACCATTTAGCGCTTTGCTTTTATGACAGCTTGATATTTCATGGTTCCTTGAATATTTAGCTCGTATTTCTACGTGTTGGCCGGCCTTTGACCCAAGTCAAAACTAAATCCCCTCAGCTCCTCGCGGAATATATGTACTCAATTTAAATTAATGCCTTCTACATAGTGCGAAGTCTACGGCTCTGCAGGATGTGCTCCACTCGCCATTTGTTTCGACTAGATCGGCATTTATGTCCAATCTAAAGAAGGAAATTGGAAACGATTGCTCGTAATAACAATAATTTGTATTCGAGATGAGGCTTTGAGACACCAGCCTGGAACCTATGCTTTACAGAGAAAACGGGAGCATACAAACTCCGTGTAGGAAGAATTTAGAGTAGTGTAATCGCTGACGCTTAAACGCAAATGTGATAAGCGGAATCTAAAACCGGAATTTTTCAGATGGTTCGGAGTGGCATAGCTTCGACTCTAGTAGCTTTTTTGTGGGACACGAGTATTCAGTGGATGTCTAATGTAGATGTCGTTCCCAACTCTCCAGTTATGGAAAAGTCAGAGATTCCCCGTCCACAGCATATGGTCTGTATTTGAACCACAAGATGGACTTATAACAAAGTCGAGTTTGTTTTTCGCTGTCAGCGGTATAACAACCCGAGTCGTGTCATTAGGATGTGGAAAGCACTAAGTTGGGCAGAATACTTGTAAAGAGAGATAAGGGAAAGAGATTGGGCTTTGGCTTATTTCGAATGTCAGCTCACCCAGTCAAGTGCACGACGATTATCAACTCGATCGCCAGTCATACAAGTAATCGAATGAACAGGGTATTACGAAGGTACAGTTTGCTCTGAAAATTCACAATCTAGTTGTAACGTCCAGGGTCTTGCTCGCCATCTATTACTGGTTGGTTTTCCGGCCCAATAATTTTCATCGTGCAACCGGTATTTAAGAACCTAAGATTTAGCAATTTGATCGCTTTTGTCAAGATGAATCCGCGAGTCTATGTAACGCGCGTGGAGACGTTCTCAGCAGCACACCGTCTATTTAATACAAGGCTTGATGAGGAAGAAAATATTCGGATTTTCGGAAAATGTGCGGGTGAAAATGGACATGGCCATAACTTTAAGATAGAGGTAACCGTTCTCGGTGAAGTCAATCCTATCACGGGCATGGTTTTGAACTCATCAGAACTGAGGCATATTATTCAAACAAACGTCCTGAATATAATCGATCATAAAAATCTGGATTTGGATGTCAAGTATTTTCGCGAAGCTAACCTGGTGAGCACTTCGGAAAACATTGTAATATTTATTTGGAAATGCCTACGGTCTGCTATTGACCCCAAATTGACGCTTGAAGTTAAGCTATATGAGACCGAAAGCAACATATTCTGTTATCGTGGTGACTAACATAATATACCCATTGTTTTCCACAACTCGCATCTTAATTGTGTGATTGCACAGTTGGATGTCTAATGATTGTGCTACAGTGATGTTAATTTCAAGGCGAGCAAGTTGGTAGGAAAAGAGAAATAAATCCGTGGACGATTAACGCCACAGAGTATCTAGATTGCAGCATTGGAAAGGGTATAGTTGATTACGATTTTAGAGGTGATTGTTCAAAAGCAAATTCAGTAACGGTCTTAATCGAGTGCTTCAGAAAGCGCTTGTGTGAAGAAATTTGTAGAAGGGCTTTTTGGGCGGACTTCTAATTATTCCATCTAATCCATATTAATACCTCGCTTAATCCCATCCGCAATTGCTCTCATTTTGCTGTGTTTATCAAAGTGTTAGCGTCAGTGCAAACAGTGCTTGCGTCCAAAATTAGCTAGAACTTATAATGCTCCATTTCATTATTACTACTTGCAACAGAGCCCCCAGTACTGAATTCCGCGGTACAGATTATCATCGTCCAATTCGCTATCCTCGTCAAGAGGTTTCCGAAAGGCCGAGGGAGCGCTGCTATCCAAATCACCGCTCATGGGAATATTTTTTGACCAGCATGCGTTAAAACGCGTATAGCACATTCCCCGTCGCCAGCATTGTTTGCGTCAAGCTCACAGAGTCTTCTAGAGACATTATTTCAAGAGTGGTAAATTAATCGGCATGACAAGAAATGTCGCTTAAAGGAGGCTTAGTAAATAAGTCCTACAACCGTTACTGTTGCTTCTTCTAGTGGTTGGTGGAGACAGTGGAATAAGTTTCACTAAAATAATTTCAGCTAAGCTGCCTTAAAGAAGTTGGTGAGCGTGTGAAAATCTGCAGACCTTAAATATTACTGAATCTGTTAACTAACTTTTAGCATAATTAGCCATCGTCTGATTGAATAAAATAAGTTGCATTGAAAGTACCAAGTTTAGTGTTTTGATCGCTACTACGCAGGCTAGGAAAGCAACTACCTTGCATCGACATGAATTTGTAACGTCTTTACATGCGAATGTGAGACCAGGAATGAGTTTTAAGTTCAACCGAAACGACAATTTACCTCTCAATCGGGTAGAAGAATCAATGAAGTTTGCGAAACGAAATGCAGTGGGCTTTGTGACCGTACCAAACAACGGTTGATGAACCTAATGTCCTTGACTGCCTATAACTCCGCCTAATAGAGATGCTAGGCCATATTCATGAGTTCTGCCCAATGCTCAACCCGTGTTAAATTGGGAAAAGGTTTCTAAGAGATTATGCATTGCTCCAGTGATATGAGTAATGCGCTCTTTGAAAGCACATGACTTTGTACAAGAAGAAAGGCCAAAAGGTATAACAGCACTCCTTCGTCTGTGAAATTCTACGCAAGGGGCGCTCCTCGACTTGTGCAATAATAGCAAATATTATTGGGTGAGACCAGAAATAGGAAACAGCCGATTGCATAATCCACTACTTACAAAACGCCTTCTAACATTCAGCCCCTCATCAGCACAGTTGGAAATTTTAAAAGCCGAAAAAATAATCAAGTGCGACTATTATGATAAGGGCAAGAGATGTGGCTAAAAGCGTAGCTGGAAAGAGTGGATGCGAAGGGAAAAATCAGTGTCCCGAGGGGACAGCCCAACGAGTAAAAGCCAAATTATCAGCAATGCGTAAAACCGCTTAACATGGCGCGCCCGTAATTACAACAAGGTTACTGGCACTGAATTAAAGCATTGTTATCATTCGAATCGGAATTATATACTCATATAGAGAGGAAACCAGTAAAATTATAAAATTTAGGTACGTGTTGGTTTGAACGTCCCCATTAGATATGAAATGGTCAGTGTGGCGTCCAATGTTCCACGTGTGAGAGAAGACATTAAGCATTCAAAAGAGAAAGAATCAGTTGGGTTTCGGTTTAGCCCGAAGTCCAGTCCACGCAAACGAGATCAAGACAAAAAGCAAAGAGATCGTCAGTCATGCAGGTAGTGAAGTAAACAAAGTTTGGGTTATAGAAAATGTCGACCATACTTGTAACTACAAACATTTATAAATTTCACCGAGTATTTGAGGCCACAAGACTTGATTTAATGCACATACTCAGGAAGTAAAGAAAGAAGTAAGCTTTGACATGGCCCAAAGACTGTTATACTAAGCAGGAGCAATCTGGTAACCAAGGGGACTGCCATTAATAATGGTGTTCGAATACGCATAGTATTATAACATGGTTGTTCTATTTGTGCGTAACGTTCCCGGCGCCTTTCTCGATAGGCCGCCTCCGTCAGCCAACACAACGTACTCAGTGCTGCAAGATTACTGTAATGCATTGCTTATATGACCACCTGTATGTCTAGCAGTTACTTTGGCGTTTATCTTGCTTCAGTAAACCTGGATGGACTTTGGATCTCACCAAGGCCTGACCCCTACTTCTTATCCTAAAATACATATGTTAGCCCAACTCAATGCATTCTTCGACCTAGCAGGAATTCACGAAGTGCTAAACACACATTGAGGAGAAACACTTGCCTTGCACGCCATCAACTGCCTTCAGGGGCTTCAGCTGGATCTCAGCTAGCGCCGAACTCATGGTTCAGCAAAATATACTGACTCCTAAGAAGAAAAGAAGTTCTGATTTTTATGCATAATGATATGTTAGATTCATGTGCATGTTCACACCACATTGCAAAAAAGTTCAATTTTTCTAATTTTTTTTTACCTGGAGATATGCAACAAAAAGCTGTTGACAACGTGATGGCAACTATAATGCGTTGTTTATTGAGACTACTTGATATCTGGCAGCTACTTTAAGATTTGCCTTCTCCTTGTACGCGTAGACTGGCCTTCGGGCCAATACATGCGTTCACCTCCACTTTGTATTCGCCCCTACCCTGTTGATAGTATAGGGGACACCGCAATTATTGTGAAACTAATTTTGTTTAACATGTTCTTTGTAGGTGAGAACAGAGAATTATATACGAACGTGGTGTTAGGAAAGCGTGTAGACGAACCGCTGGAACCACAGGAATTACATCCCTGCGCTTTTTCGAAATACCATATTGATCCATACATGGAAATCTTCTTCCAAAGAAACATAAAAGTAGGGTGCTAATCCGAGGGCAGCTCCTCCACTGACTAAAACACCATTTGAGTGCGGATATTAATCGTCGTCGGTTAAGCGATCACGTTACCTTAGCCAAAATGAGGATTATGCCTTATTTTGTGGTATCGTTTCGTTTGGTGGGACATGTATTTTGCTTAAAAGTCCCACATTCTGGTGTCTACAAAGTTGTTTCTGGACCCATATTGATACTGTAGTGTTTTGTTTATGTGAGTACAGATTTTGTCCGGCCCCTGTACACGTGGGCTGGTCTTCGGGCCACGCTCAGTCCCCATTTGCTCTATCGTCTTCGGAACACACGTATTCAACTCCACTTTTACCTTCTTCAACCCTATGGGAAGCCTCGAGACGCTACAAGTACCTCAACAATTTATTAAAATTTTTCTGATGCTAATGAAATCCATAAGATCGCATAAGTATTTTTTGTGGATAAAGGGGTGAAGGCACCGTAAACTCTTTTAGCACAGGCATATCAATTACAATAATGGTTTGCACATGGTAAATACCACTTACTTTTAGATGTATGAACTGAATTTGAGCTTTTATTGATATACCAATTTCATTTCATGCATTTACTGATGGAATCTTGTTTAATTTTCAAAAATTTCAACATATATAATTACGCGTTCGTTATAATTAGTCCGTCGGACTTGTGGCGTTTTCAAGCCTCGGCATCTGTCTGTTGGGTTTCGTCTTTTTTTCTACCATGGCGGATTCTGGGCACGGCAAATGGGATGTTATCAACAACGGGACTTATCGACTGATAAGGAAAATTGGGAGTGGTTCGTTTGGAACTATATATTTGGGCCTGAATACAAAAACTGGTGAAGTAGGTCTTGAATTCGAGTTAATTATACCAGGAAGTTGCCGTCAAAGTGGAGACAAACCAGATCAGGCATCCACAGCTCATGTATGAAAGTAAATTATATCGGATTTTTATTGGTGGTGTGGGAATTCCACGGATGAGGTAAAGAAGCCTTAGAAAGTTAGATCCTCTAGATATTTTGGACGCGAGGGAGACAATAGTTACCTTGTGATTGACTTGCTGGGGCCAAGTCTCGAAGATTTATTTTTGTACTGCTCACGTCACTTCACTACGAAGACTGTTCTTATGTTGGCCGATCAAATGATATCGCGGATAGAATTTTTGCATTCGAAGTGCTATTTGCACCGTGACATCAAGCCTGATAACTTTCTCATGGGCATGGGCCGTCAATTTAATAGGGTGTTCATCATTGATTTCGGACTTGCTAAAAAATATATGTGCTCAAAAACGAAGAAACATATTCCATACAGGTTTGTAATCTTTATTTGCTGTTACTTTTAACATTAGAGATAACAAAAATCTGACTGGGACCGCTCGTTACGCCAGCATAAACACGCATGTTGGAGTTGAGCAGTCACGTCGTGACGATTTGGAGGCTCTTGGTTATGTTTTGATGTATTTTAGTCGGGGGAGTTTGCCATGGCAGGGTTTGAAGGTGGGTATCTTTTAGTTTATATGGTTGATTCACTCCGTACTATAGGCCCATGGAACTTCATGGCGTCTGGAACTTCATCTCGTTTAGACTTCATATTTTTTGATGGAATGTAATTTTTGATATAACACATGTTATTTTCTGTGATTGGAATACCAGTTAGAAACTATTGCAAAGTATTTCGGTTCGTTCTAAGCCAAAAGGACGGGAATTCTGAGCATAGTTTGGGATGTGTTGTATCTTGCTTCTCGGTTCTTAGCTAAATGCGTCGCAATTTTTGTATTTATCTGTGTGTCTCTGTAAATGAGTTAACAGTGCAACGTTTTTTTGTGATTTTTGAGCAGGGTTAGGTTGGTGTGACTTCTTGTTGTCATTTTGCATCTTTCTTATCACAGGCGAATACGAAACGCCAGAAGTACGAAAGAATTAGGGACAAGAAGATTGCCACCCCTCCTGAGGTTTTATGTAAGGGTTTCCCATCGGAGTTTGCCACATATCTTAATTACTGTCGGAATTTGCGCTTTGAAGAGACACCTGACTACTCTTACCTTCGGCAACTTTTCCGAGTACTATTCATCGACTTTGGGCACAAAATGGACTATGTTTTTGATTGGCACCTACTCAAGCGTCATCCGCCTGGCGGCAACTGCAGTTCATCGAGCGATGAGACTATTGGTGCTGACGTGGGTAGGGGTGTGGTTCGTCGTCACGCAGCGACAAACCACACTTCTCTCCTCCCAGCGAAACTCGGCCGTGTTTCTAATTCTGTTGGAAATCAACAGCCTCCACCTCCGCACCGCCGTGGTAAGAACTCGGGCGAAGGCTGGTAGCATTGCCAGTTAGTTTCTCTTGTTTTTATTGTCTCGCAGTATATTCTCACCACTCCCAGCAGCACTTTACATGCGTGCTTGTACAGGCCTTCCTCTGCCTTTATTTGTTCAAGTTGACTTTTTCTACCTTATGCCTGTATACACTATTTCAAATAAAAGACCAGTGTAAGGAGGTCATTGCTGGAACTTTTTTCCCTGTTGTTCGTGTACATTCATCTAAAATACTTTAGGAGCCACGTGCACTTTCTCCAGCAGCAAAAAAACTGTTCTCAAAGTCTAGATTTTTTTGGGTCTCAGGGGTGCAGACGTTTGGTACCTTCGGTATGTGTGCTCATTTTATGTTTTGAAAGAGCTGTAAGATCACTTGTGCTATTATCCTTTGCGTTGCGGTAATCGTGCAGTGTTAAAAGTAGTACTTGATTTTTTGTTGGGAAGTTGGGCAGGTTCTCTGGATGCGCTAATGCCAATGATCTGTCCGAACTGATCACGGTCTCGGTGCAATATTTTGAGCATTTCATTCCTACAAATTAAACTTCTTTAGGCTGCAGCAGTTGCTTAATGCTGCGGGTTTTTTGATGTTACCCTTTGTTGCAGCGATCGATTCAATCCATAACAGATGCGTCTTAATTTGGTAGCCCGCAAGTGTCACTATTGAACGCTGCTGTCTTCACACGCTACCGAACTTCTGAGGTGCAGCATTCTGTCCATATCAATCGGATGTTTTTGTGGAAGCCTGCATTTGCTGTCTTATTGTGGCACGGTAGGCTTATTTTATCTTCTCTGTGTTGTTCGGGTACTTTGGCGTGTGGCAACGTTTGCTGTGTATGAGTTTTGGTAGTTCAAGTTGTCTCGTAGTTGGCCATTCATTTTCAGTGGCCAAACTTTATGATTGCTTAACCTTCATAGCTGTGATTGACCAATTACAAATGACTTATCGTCCGGGCTTCTAAGGCGATACCACCAATGGTCAGTTTGGGATGGCTACCCGTCCGCTACCCGTCCTAAAGCACCTTTAATTTTCATCGTCTGATCCATTCATGGCTTTTACAAAAGATATGGTATAAAACCTTCCCTTCATTGGCAACAGATCGTTTATGTGTATGTTTTAGTTAGTTTTACTGAGGTTATTTTTAAACGTCAGCTAAATGCAGAACACTGCACTTGAGGAGAATATTTTTAATCAATCAGTTCATTATTGGTTTGTGAACGTGCTCTGTTCGAGCTTTTTGTTGAGTGTGGATTTTACTTTCAGTCTGGCGTTACTGCAAAAGATTTGCATTTACGTTAAAGCATCATTTTAATGGCAACATTTCATATTTTTTTACCAAGACAGAGATGAAGAACTTTAATTTGTGGCTTAGCGTGAATCAATTTTACGCCTCCATTGAAAGCGCTCCAACGTTTGTAGTTTTTGGCCACTCCTCCTCATTAGGTTGGGGAAATGCAATCCCCTTTTTATTTGAACAGGAAAAGTAGAACATTAATCTTCCTCTTGAGGGTTTATAGGTTTTGAAATAGGTAAGCCGATACTATTTATCGCACGTGAAAAGTTGTTAAGGCGCAAGCGGTTTGCGTTATTTGAAGTTTATGGTTTTAATCCCATTTGTACTCTTTTCAGAATAAAATGGCGTTAAAATTACAAAAGTAAATAATCTACACATTGGTTTTAGCAGGATTTCGAAACATTATTCGTATGGACTAGGGTAATTAGTTGACCTTCGGAGTTAGGCTCTTCTTTGATGATTTGAGTGGGTATTACTCTATTTCCAAACGATTGTTCTGACCAAATATTGTGTTCAATTATTTGCAGGTAAACTGTGCTGTCATATGGCGAAACAGATCTTTAAGGTTCACTGTGTGTCTAAAAGGTTTGTGGTTGCAAAGTAAGGGGAAGGAAGGACACATTACAGGACCTTTTCGTGGAATATTTTGGTTCTTTATGATGTCGTCAGTACAGGTTTCCAGGCAGACATCGGCGATACGTGCTGTTTGATGGAGTGGTTTTCATAAAAAATCAAGCTTTAGTTCTGATTTTGTTGGTGTTGCGCCAAGGTCATAAACCAGGCTAACACGGCACCTCAGGGACCAGCATTTTACGAGGCAACATTGGTAATGCTTAGCCCTCCAAATTGCATTAATGTGGATTACAAAGAGGGCAATTGACTCAGAGGTATGACAACTGTTTCGACCTGTTGCGTGTGAAATATGTGGAGTAGTACAGTTGCCCTTCGATGAGTGCCTTTTAAACTGCACATTAATACAACCTATTAGCACAAATTAATTTATTATCAAGCCAGGCACTTTAATGAGATCGCCATTTCATTTGGTGGTGTAGCGGCAGCGTAATGACCAATAAAGCGTATGGCGTAGGTGCTGAGGTGAGGCAATTAAATAATTCATTTACGCTTCAAATGATTGCGCAGAGCTTGGCAAGTCACTGATGCTGCATAATGAGATTTCCGAACCATTCGGCATATGGCACCGCATCGAGCAATGTTTGTCTTGTAATCTCAGTCGCTGTTCAATCCGGTAGGGCTTAGACGATTGTATCTCCGTTAAACAACACAAAGAGCTTGCCTCTCATTTTCTGAGATAGCATTCTGTATTTTTAGAGTCGTGAGTCACCTGCAAAACTGATGATTCTAACTGTCGGAAAATTTATTTGACTTCACACCATAAATAGGTGTTTCCTCTTTTCCGCTTTATCGTCATCAAAAATGCAAGTACTAGTGATACAACCAACTTTACTCACTGGTCCATTGGCGGATACAACCTGCTATTGCTTGGGTCGTAAGGGAGGTGAAGTTGAATGCACTGTGTTTTAAATTTTTCCTCCCTTCTCTCCCTCACTCATGTAGCAGAATGGCCTTTCACCCGTATGAGAAAATCCTCCTTTAAAGGCAATTAGGTTTTCCAACTGTGGGAGATGTTTTCATACCCGTATTCAGATGCTAGCTTACCTCTTAAAAATATAAATATATTTGTGTGTTAGCGATCCTGATCAGCAACGGATTGTTTCAGGAACACTATTTCTCGAGCAGGGAACTTTGCTTTAAATTACAATTCTAAGGGAATATGTGTCGGTAGATGCACGCCGGTTAGATTGCGCGCACCTGAGAGCAAACTCAGGCAGATCAATGGCGTACTACTTGGAGTAGGCTCTCGAAAGCTGCAGTAGGAGGCCAGCCTGCATGTACCAGCGAGTATAAATATACGTGAAATAGTACTGAGTCAGTCAATAATGCAAACACTGCCCATACCTACGGAGATGACAGTTCATCACAATATTCTTACTGAACTTTCGTCCTGAGACAGGTGCAATGCCTACTTCCTTTACCAGTGTTTCACGCCTCTCCACTATGCACCAGGCAAAACGCAGTATTAAAATCTAAGGCAAAATTTATAACGCCATCTAAAAATATTGATTCTTCATTAAATTTCGAGCACATCAAGGACAGTCACTTGCGGTCCAAATCGCGCAGAAGTCAGGTTACTTCAAATATTCGATTACGAGGGTGATGCTCGAGTGACTGTAGCAACAAGCAGGACTCAAGTGCAACGTCGAGCCTGGTTTTAGGCGAAGGGAACAGCTACAGTTGCCTTCAATATGGTAGATCCAGAGTTCCTTTTGTTTCCGCGTCAAGCCTTAAGGGGATTAGCTCGATTGTTTTGGAGTTTGCGGGCTGGTAGCGTTTTTTTGGAAGATGCAAAGTAGACACAGAGAAACTTGTCAAGTGTGCATGCGATGCTAGACTACAGATCTACCAAGTCACTAACTTTGTAAATAAATAGTAAATAACTCCTTGCCGCTGACGAATCGTCTAACTTAAAAATAACTTCACTCAACTTTGACTATGCTTCTGCACTTTAACCACAAGTCGAATAATCACACATCCTAGTCATGTGAATGCAGCATGACTCCGGGTCTTAGCGACGTCGAGTGTCAGCTAGTTTCCGCTGGCCATTGATGGCACGTGTTTAGAGAGGAAAGGTAAAGGAAATACACCGAGAAAACCACGCCGCACAGATTCATTGGTACACAACGGAAGTAAATTGACTCCCCTACTGATGTGCGTGTTAGCTGGTTATTAGGAATTCCTGGACCCACTTGCTCCTACTGAAGGCACTACTTTAATTGCCCCACAACAAACCAATTATAAGATCGCGAGTACAACACCAAAATCGACAATCACGTCATGAAACATCAATCATATAGCTTTGCCGAAAAGTAGCTTTAATTAATGCTCCACCATTCCCGAAGTTGTGAATAGCACTGGACTTTTGGCGGACAAACAAAACTGAACAAGTTAATATGAGACTAGAAGCGGAACGCAGTTGGCCGCGGAGGGATTAAAGTGCAAAGTAAAGAATCACAACTTCTAACATCAAATCTGATAAAGGTTGGAGCATCCATCCGTGCAGTAAATACAAGTAAGTACTAAAGTTAAAGGGCTTCTTCAGTGCTAGGAACATTCATTACAGCTATGTGCAGAACTTCGGGAGGGGAGTGGAAAGATTTGAGTCGAATCATTTCATATTTCTCGAATAACTGCCTACACGTACCTGAGCAGCATCAACAAAGTACTTTGGCGCCACAAGGTGCAACTACTGCAAATTAAACTTCTTAAGAGAAGAGAGGATTTGCAAGCGCAGAGGATTGGCGATAGGTAATGCAATTATCCTCTTCTTGCCTACATGGGTGGGTACAGGTAAGCGCCCTCTCATACGTGTACCAACGAATTCATGGATCTCCCGATTTCACGTTCATGTGCAGTGAGCATGGCCAACGCAAGAGGAAATCAAACTGGTGTCAAGGCACCTCCAGGGTAATAGTCTTGGATGTAATGAAATCTGGCCTCTACAACAAACAAGCATACTGCCTTGGGATAGATAAAAGGCTAGGGAAACTAAACATTGCGCACGCTAACCCTTTATGCACACGTGTAGGTGTGTACAAGCGACTGACTTATATTCCTCTACTTGTTCACTTTTAGGTCTTC